ATTCCTGCTGAATCAATTTGTTAAAGAAACAATGACCCCGCACAGGACAAAGGACAAAAGGCTCCTGAGAGGCGTGTGACATTAGCAGACAGTTTGGCGGGATCCCTCCAAAAGGACAGCCGACTGAGCGGATAATCGGATTGTCCATGGCTGGCGTTGGATCTGGTCAAAACGCAATTTGTGGGTTTTTAGGCCAGTCCAGCTGCCATTCGGAGTGTGGCAAGTATGCAAAAACCTTCGACGACAACTTATTCTCGTGCCGAAAAAACACAGCCAGCGGGTGGCTTATCGCCCATCGTTAATCGCTTATCGCCATAATGCCCCCTCAGCACTCAGCACTCAGCACTCAACTGAGCTCCCGGGACTTCAAGGAATTCCAAGGATGAGGAAGCACTTCTGGGACCCGGCAAAAGTGTCACATCTCCGCAACATGCAACGTCATCGTGGTCGCGAGCCATTCGAGATGCATTTTGGCATCGGAGGCATCGAAGGCAGCTGACCCAACATGCAAAGAAGATAATCACGATCGCAGCAGCCGGCTGCGATGGCCACTGAGCCGCAGTTATCTCATCTTGGCCATCAATAAGTCGTACTACCCATGGTTATGCCGGGACCAGAGTGACTGCTTGTCCAGAAATCTCTTCTTGGCCTCCCGCCCGCTGCTTTCTCCCCTTTCTCCGGGTCGGGAAAGTGGCCTGCCTCGTCGTATCTATCCCACAGCAATTCAACTTTGTGCATTTGCAAGTGCCACCATCAATTAAAACTAATAGAACAATTAATGAACACAACAAACACAAACCGCAAAGTGCAACCGCAAAGCGAGAACTTAGAAGGAGACAATAAAAACATGTCGAAGATGAATGGGACGAGCTCTGAGACTGACGACAATTGAATACACTTTATTTTGAAGACATAATACATAAGCTTTTCTTTAGGGATCTTCAGGAAAAGTAATAGTTATATAGGAGGTGTTTTCTATGACTAATAATTACGGGGTTATTCTTTAAATAAGCATCAGGAATACCTACCGGGACTAAAAGTATTATTTTTAAAGTTGTAAGCAATTCAAAATTTATGTATTTGTCTACTTTCTTTGACTACAAAATACCCCTCAAGCAAAGAGTATCCAAGTCGCACGCGGAACTGGGTTTCAAAGAAACTAAATAAAAGAGTTTTGTTCTGCCCTCGGTATTCATCATCAGCATAACGTATATGTAATAATCTGCCCAATCATTATTGTCTTCAACAATTAAGCCAGATGAATAAATAGGCGAGTGAATGAATGGGTAAATGTACGGCCTGCCAGCTCATAATTTCTCAACTCTAATTCCCAAGAAATTAGAAAAGGGTGCGGGCGTAGATCGCGGAGGAGAGATTGAACTGGGGGCGTGGCCCAACCGCAGTTGGCAGGCAAAGTGCACAAACAGTTAAATGCGATCTGCTGCTCCGCGTAATTGCAGTCAAAGGAACATGCAATCCATCTGCGCAGAAACGGAAAACAATTGAATCCATGAATTATGAAATATTTTATGCCAAGCAAAATGCCACAGACATCTCTGCAGAAGCGCGCGAGCCCCCCTAATTAACTAAGTGCCACGCACCTTGAAGCCCCAGCTGAGGACTTGAGAGTGAAAACCCATTTTTAGCTTCATGCATTTTTAATTCCCTTAATAGCTTTTGTCTCAGGCTAGACCCAACCAGACATTGATGGACCAGCAGCAGCAGCAGCAACATCAGCAACAAAAATTAAAACACCAAAAATCCTGTCCTTGCCGCAGCTGCTGGCCAGATGCAGATTAATTCCCGGCCCCAAGTCGTCCGAAAAAGTTGTCCTTACCTGGTCGCATCTGCGGACGAACTGAGCCAACTAAGCGCAATGTGTCCTCCATCAAAATTAATTACCAACGGCAAGAGGCAGCCGAGCAGCAAGGCCAATTGTCAGTTGTGGCGAGCTCAAAAGTTAAAAGGGGGCGACTTGGCCACCCCTGTTGGCCCACAGCACTCACACCCACAGTACCCACAGCACCCACTCCACCCCGGGGGCTCATCAGTCAACACTTGCTTAACAGTCTAAAATGATAAATTGCCATCCCTTCGGCTTAACTTTTCTCTTTGCGAATATGTAACTGAGTCAGCTAAAAATGCTGCATACTTTGTGGCGTCGCCTAATAACGAATCGATCGGAGAAAGTAAGTCTGAGGATGATTCTATCAGAATTAAGTCATATATTTCAGCAGATTAATATTAATATAAACTGGAAATCTATTAATTTAATAGACAAAGTATTTTACTACTTTTCTTTCCGTGTTTAGACCTTAAAAGTCTTATCTCTTGCAGAGTATAATAATTTATGTTATAGGTTTACAACCGCAGTGAAGCAGTCATTTCCGACCCTATAAACCATATATATTCTTGATCAGCATCAACAGACTAATATATCTAGCCTAGTCTGGTAAGAAAATAAATTTTTGGAAATTTTTAAAAATTTATAAAATTTATAAGGGGTTACATCGTTAAAATTGTCAAAAATTGGCCAAAATTTGATTTTTTTAAACATTAAGAAAAGGAATCATTTGCGACCCTATAAATCATATATATTCTTGATCAGCATCAAAGCCTGAATCGATCTAGTAATGTCCGGTTGAAATCTAAAATTTTGAAAGTTTTTCGAAATTTCAAATTTTTATAAGGGTTACATCATTAAATTGTCAAAAATTGGCAAAAAAAATAGAATTTCTTAAAATGTAAAATTGAGTAAGCAGATTTCTTAACCTAATAAAAACTAGCACAGAAACGTTTTCAGAAACGAAATTAAAGTATTTTTGACTTAGTTATAATTGATTTTCGATTTGAATCCCTGGACAATTTTCAAGCTGCGAGCATATACGAACTTGGACTACCCCGAAGATAGATTCTTTTCTTGTTAAAATATTATATAGTATTATTTAATTTTAGATCACCCCTTGACTATGCAACTCGTCCAACTTTTGCATAATGAATTCTTACTTTCTTTCCGATTTCATTTTTCACATATCATAAATCCACATTGCCAAACAATACAGTCAAGAGGATAATGCGAATGCAACCACCACCAATAATGGAGGTTCAAATATGCATGCATATATGTAGATATATATTTATGGTATGTATGCTAAAAATGTAGTGGGTGGCGACTGGGTGAGATTTATTGGCTAATACTGCCACTGCCCTGCGCATACGAGTCGAGGCCAAATTAATTAACAACAAGGCAGGCTCATTGTCTGCTGTCGCTCGGGTCGCGTTGTTGGTTTTTAATTAAGGAGTTGAATGAGAATCAAAATTAAAGTGATTTATGCCAACGGAAAATGCGTAAGGAGAAATGCCAGGGCTTTAATTATAAACAAATAGGAAGGCAGTGAAGCCGCAGCTAGCATAAACAAATAATTAAAAGCACGCCGACGAGTTGCAAAGTCGCTGGGGGTCGATTTTTATTCAAAAACATTTGTGTCAATATTTACCACCGACACAAGGATGTCAACTAATAGTCTAAGCTGCCGTATCCTTGGCAAGTCCTTGGGCATATCGCGTCACTCTCGTTACCAGTATTTACTCAAACCGCAGGACCTCTTCGGCTTCGGTGGTGGGAAAGGAACTCGCTTGATGTCCTGTCGGAGATAATGTCACACATGATTGCTCCTGCCCGGGCTCTGCTCACTCGCGGGGTCTGTGTGAGTTTCTAATTAAAATGTAAAACATTTTCTTTTGTTAACGGAACCGCAAAATATCTAAATTGAATACACATTTGTGGGTGACATTTCCCTTTTGGCTTTTGCGCTTTAAGAGGGGTTAAGCAGGACCTGACGAGGTGGATTGATATGCTTATGAAAGAGCTGTGGCAAACAGAAAATAGAACAAACAAGCTGGGCATTAGCAGGGCCTTTCTTGTCAAAGAAAATATAAAAAAATAGTAAAATTAAAAAGAAAGCTAACTCGATGCCTCCTGTGAGGATTGAACTCACGACCCCTGGTTTACAAGACCAGTGCTCTGCCACTGAGCTAAAGAGGCTCACATGAATCTGCCTGAAAAATTCACCAATTAAAGGTAACTTCCGAAATGTCAGAAGCGTATATCTAAAATAGAAGTAGTGCAGTACCAATATCATCTTATCATATTTAGGTGAAGATAAAAATCCATTCGTTCGTTATCGAGTCCCCCAAATATTGTCTTGTCCCACATGAGTTTCACTTAATGTTTTAAGAGTTAATTAAATTGTTTTTATCTTTTAACAAAGTTGCAGTAACAGAGTCGTTCAAATCATATCGATTTGTATTTTAAGAGTTGCAATTGCTTGACTCACAAAAATGCTGGTCACAATTTAACCCGAAATACCCATTTAAAGCGGCAAAACCAAAATGGTTAGTCAAACCAAAAACAGGTTCTGATGGCTTAATCCTTCCAGACGAATGCGCTGAAATTATTTATTATGACGCAAAACTTTTTTTCCGGCCTCGGCGTTATCTCCTGTCCAATAGAGCCACGGGGTCTCGGTCTCGTCCTGGGTCTCGCCTGGCATCCGCCAAAAGCGATACTCCACCTAACCCATCATCCGCCCACTCACCAAAAATCAAAAAACAAAAGTGAAAAGCTGCCCAGTTAAGCCCTCGATAAAGAGCTTTAAAAGGTGTGTGCCAGGACAATTTGGTTAAGCCGAATTGTTCAGTTAGCGCAACTTCAAAGGACACAAAATCTGCTCAGGCGGCACAATCGAATGAAATGGGTAATTTTTCGAGGATAATTCCCTTAAAGAGCGAACTCAGATGGACGATTAACTTTTAATCAAAAAAAGGTCAGCGTTACTGGAAATAATTTGCAATGCACAATAAAATCAGGAATATACTGTCAGGAATATAATAAATTGCGTTCAATATTACATCGCAAGCACATAGTACTGAATTTATAATATTTGGTTAGTGGTAATTCTGTAAAATTGTAACCCTAGTGTAATGCGATGGCAATATATATCGATAATGTTTCCAGCATTATCTAATCTAATCAATTGCAGCAAGCGACGCGTTTTTTGCACTCTTTTCACAAGAAATTTTTCATCTGTACTTTTTAAAATAAAAACCTTGAGGCGGTGCTGAATTTATCTAAATAATAAAAACCCTAAGAAAAGAAGAATTCAAGATAATGCCACTGGATCAGGTGGTCATATCTTACTTCAGCCAACGCAGCTTCATCAGTGTCGTGCTGCTCAGATCCTTTGACCTGCTGAAGCCTGACACTCTCCTCATACCCGGCGCCCAGGCAATTGAAGTGGCTCCCAATGGGATTTCCTACACCGAGAATAATGTAGAGTATCGCATTGTTCTGGATGATATGTTTGAGCTGACCGTCAAGTTTGAGGACGATCGTTATTATGGTGCGGCCAGTCAGAGGGCCAGCAATGTGACCTTCGGACTCATTCTCCAACGAGTAAATGTCCGGAAGATTGCGGATGTGATCATTGATGTAAAATTGGGTGAATTGCCGCTTCGCATCAGTTCCAGCGCGCCCTGCTCCCTTCACTGCAGCAATTGTGCCAATGAGGTAATTCGGCGTCAGCAATACCTCAGGATTCAACCGGTCCCGGTGATAACAATGCGTCCGCATAGCTTTTTCTGCGGACGCCACAAGATCCCGGTGTATCCGCAGGAGGACCAGCTCTTCTACGGATTGAATTACGTGGTGATCTGCTTTCTGATGTTGGGCAATGGGGTGACTCGCTCCTGGAGACGTCGTCGCTTGGAATGTTCCCGCTGTCGACAGGTCGTTGGCGATGTCTTGGGCCAGGACGTGGCTATCCGTTTGTTCGCAGACGCACTCCGCGTGAAGACTGACGGTGCTAATGACCAGTCTCCGGTTAAGTTCAGGCAGGTCTTTGGGCATGTGACCGCCACCCAGTTGATGATGCGCCTGCTCCATGACGCCGAGCTCATCAACCCGGACAAGACTCGCTTATTACTGAAGGCCGTGCGTCCCGATGGCCAGGTGCACTACCTGCAGATGATGGTGGACACTCAGCAGTTGTACCTCCTGCGTTCCCAGTTGCCCGGTCTCACGGAGCATGAACTTTACGGGGATGAACGGAAGTCGCCGGAACGGAATTCACCGGATCGGAGTGACACCAGCAGCGAGGGTGACATCGAGATAAATAACAGCTATACCAGTAGCAGCAGCTTCAACTCCAGTATTCAAGAAGCGGACGAGTACATGGTGACTCCACAATCACCTCCATATGGACCCACCACTCCCCCCAGCTGATCCAGCCATCCGAGATAGGTCCGAAAAAAATCATCAGCTATGTGGCTCTGCGCGGCTTCCACGGCGTCCGCATAAAGTTTTGTTTTCGGAAACCGATCAAGAGTTGGTCGCTAACCAAGAGATTCTGGAGCAATGGTTCGACGAGGGTGCCCGTGAGTTCCGCGTCTCCTACGCAATGATTATGGAGCTGCTCGCCGAACTGAATGCGAACGTGAACATGGTGGCCGCCCTGGAGAAGAATAATGATCCGATCTCTTCCAACCATCCGCGTGTCAGCTACATCGTCTATGAGACAGACAAGGACTTTTATGCCAGACAGCAGCTGCCATTTGAGGAGCTCGACATTTGAATACGAGTATTCCAAGATCATATTAGACCTGCATTAGCTATTATATTAAATAATTAGCAGCAGCCAGTAATACAAATAGTTTTTGGTTTTATAAGCAGGGGTTGGGACTTTTATAATTTATTCATTTGACTTGAAATGCATTCGAGTTCATCAATTCATTTGTCACATTCTAGAGGGTCTTTTTATCCAGATAAACTTATATAATTTTTAAAAATATACGTTTAAATCGAGAAATAAATTTTACTTCGGGAAATCAAAGTTTGCACACTCTTGCGGCTTGAAGTTGAATCCTGAAAGTGGCATTTGAAATTGATCATAACTTGGTACAAATTCATCAATTTCAAATCGGAATGCTTTCTCATGTTAGTTATTATTAGGATAACAAAACTGCATACTCAATTTAAAATTTTAAAATTTGACTAACTTTGACAATTTTAACGATGTAACCCCTTATAAAATTTTCAAATTTTTGGAAAATTTTGAAAAAATTATTTTTTCTCCAAACATGGCTTAATCGATTCGTCTGCTGATTCTGATCAAGAATATATATGGTTTATAGGGTCGGAAATTACTCCTTCACAGTATTAAATACCCTGCAAGGTAATGATGAAACAATAAAATATATGTACGATTACAAAAAAAAATACACAAACTCCAACAAAATGGTTTTTAAAGGACACTCAATTTGCAATAATTTAGGAACAGTTCCAACGTTATTATTAAAAAATAATTATTTGTAATTAAGATGTCTGAAATTTCCTTTAAAGTACATATAGTCTTCATGCTTCCTAATTTAACAAATCTAATTACTTTATCCCACCGAACTCCATAAATTGTTTACCCAAAACTCCCATTAACCCTTTCCTTGCATTTAATTGGGATTTCCTTTTGATATTTTAAAAGTATTCTACAAGATTCACGGCATATTTTCTTAATTGTCTTATTGTTGGTAATTAGAACAGATTTAATTGCGAAAGGCCTTGTACATTTGCAGGACAACCGATGCGGTTTATGGTTTACCAACCCCGCAACTTGGAAGGACTGACCACATCATTAATCGTTGGCTGGTTAGCGAAAAACAATTTGTCCAAATAACAATTAGGGCCAAGCCAAAGCACCCTCAGGACAGGACACTCAAACGCCCACGCAGCAGGAGCAGGAGAATTTGGGATCAAGAATCAGGAATCATGATTGGATTAGGATTCGGGGGAATCGTTAACAGCCTTTGACGCTTGACAGTTGGCTAATGAAAATTCAGGGGAGTGAAAGTGTCCAAGGCTGTGATGCACCTTGATTAATGATGGCTCAGATTTAAAGTTCTGTTTTCACCAGTTTAAATTTCTCGGGTCTCTCTGGTCCGGCTGTGTTTGCTCACAAAATCCATCCATTCTATATGCAATCCCCGTCCATTATCCCACATGCAATTTGTGGCATTGTCCATCGCGGTTTCAGCTGTTTGTCTGTTTTTATTTCATTTTTTTTTTTTTTGGCTGCGACAACAATGAGTTTCAATTTGGGATATAAAAGAAGACTCGTTGGCAGGTGGACGGCAGTGGCTAATGGCCTGGACCGCATTGTTGGACTGGCTTTTGTGGAATGCTTTCTATGTGGCAGGGGGGACCCTTCCTAGGAACTATCCTAAATTAAGAAAGTGCATAGAGGTTATCTCGTCACAGCAGTGCCCGGCAATTGCCAATAATTAACATAATGAAACCATAAATTGTGCAAGTTGAAGAAAGTCCAATGACACAGCGCAACAATTGCGTTGGGGTGGCAATTTCTAGAGAAAGCATGCGAAATTAATACAACCGCAACGCCCCATAAATTAATTTAGAAGTGCGCTCAGGGCCTCTTCTAGCAGTGAAAGTGCCACCAGTGTCCATATGGCCTTTCACTCGCTCCTCCGACCAATTACCAAGATGTATGCGTGTCGCGCACCACAGACCAATTAACCCCCATTACGGTCAGCCCGGGGAACTGCCCCTGACACGCCACACTCGTCCTGGCCGGGGTCAAGTTCTGGTCCAAATAGTGGGGGCTAGTAATTAAGATTTCCAAGAGCAGCAACCACCAGCACCAGTTCGGGCACACATCCGTGGCGGAGACGCAAAACAAACTCTGTCCGGGGCATCCAAATTGCTTTATGATGTTGCAGATTATGATAATGAATGATGCCATCTGGACTTGCACTTGGTACAATGACCAGGGCTATGTTGACACTTTAAGTGATTTAATGTTATGGTCTCTCAGCTGTCTCCCCTTAGTGCAGGCACAGGGCACCCCTCATTCCTATAGCTTCTGGCTTAATATCATACTGAATTTAATGAATATATTTTGCTATAACTTAAATCTCTTTTATTGTTATACAAAAATATTGAAGCCTACAGTCAAAGCTTTTTATTTGGAAATCTTTTTACACTTAAATGGATTCATTAAAATTTATATTTGGCACAAACTTGTTCAGTATCGACGCACATATAGAGGGAGGGAATACATTTTTGCCAGTTTATTGACACAATTGCCAACAAATAAATCCCAACTCCAGGCCACCGAGAACGCCGATTGTATACATATGTATCTCTGTATCCCCAGTCCAACTTCCCCCCTCTCGAATTGAGTGTGAACTGCCATTGAAATGTTTTTGATTGGAAAAAATTTAATTTCCTATACGCTTCACACTGCTTATCGCGGTTGCATTGTGCTCCAGATTCAGCAACAAAAAAATTGGCATTTTTTTCGCCATGTTCTGCTGCCACCGGCATTTTAAATTTAAATCAAGTGTTGGCCCGGCGGATATCTAAACTTTTCCCCCACCGCATATGTTTTGGTGGCACACTCGTAACCGAAACCTCAAACCACAATTAATTAAGGCAAACGCTCTTGTCAGCGGCCACAGTAATAACGAGAGAATTCATTGACAGTTTTTTCTGTAGTCTTTTTGCAAAAAGTTTCTCATTGCCAGAGCAGGGCTTCAATTACAATTTTTCGATTTGCTGTGCGAAAGAATGGGGATTCCCACCGAGGGAGGCGTTCATTAAACGCTCTACTTGTGGCCAAGCCAAGCTGTCTTTTGCCTTCGTTTTTCATGCTGGCACATTCGTCGGTTTGGTCCTTTGTCCCGGGAACAATGGCGGAACCGCAGAGCGAGCCGGCGCAGAAGAGTGAAATCCATTTTTTCCATTAAATCGAGCCGTCGATTGTGCATGAAGCGAGGAGGCGCAAATGTCAGGCTCCCCGGTTAGATGGGGGCGATGCGATACCTCGATAGGTTGCCACAGCCGAGGAACACCAGGACAGCGGGGCAATGGAGGGCACTAGGGACAACAACGAAGCGCCACCTTCAGCCCCCGCAATACGCATAGCCATCAGACATTCTGTGGAAAATGGATTTTAAACGCAGAAGGAATGCTCTTCCTTTGGTTCAATATAAACACATATAAGTGGAAAACTTTACAAAAATTGAATTTAAAACTAAGTAAAATAATATGAAAAAAAAAACTTTAAATAAATTGGGCTTAGATATATTAACAAACAAATCGAGTATTCCCATATAGAATTATCTAGAAATATATTCTTAAATCGCAGAGCATTCCCGGTTTCGTATAAATAACTTTCCATGCTCTCAGCCATTTCGAGATAACTTTTTCCTCCCGATTCCCGAAATTCGATACACTTGCAAATGGCTTTTTGACAAACAATGACATGGACCAACTCACCTACGAATGCGGAGACATTTCTTTTGCTTACCTTTTTTCCCTTTTGGCCAACCCTCGCTCGTGGCAATCGCATTTGCAAATGAATTGCTTATTGACAGTTTGATGGAATGATTCCCTCGTCGATTTGCCAGGCTTTTGTTATTCTTTAATTAAACGTTTTTGCTTTGGAAAATGGATCAAAAAAGAACCTAAATGCACAACTGTAAAGGATTCATTTTGTGGTGAATGAGCATTGAAGGTTTTGATGCGAGTTTTCAATAATGAAAAGTAGCATTTTTTGGAGCACGCTTTTCGGGGCAGACAAGAAAAATATTTATAAATATATTGACATGAATCTTAGAAAAGCACACTATTACTCTATTAGAGTTTTTCTTAGAAACTTTTTATATAAATAGCTAAAATATTACACAAATTAGATCTAAGTTTTATATAACAGTTTAGACTCTACTTAAGCATTCATTGGAACCATTTTAAGATCTCTTTGCAATGACAGTTACAGTTGTCAAGTGTCGAGGCTCGGCCAGAAAGTCATTTCCGGCTGATTGCATTTCGCAGGACCCTCGAAAAGGCTGCAGGGCGACATATCCTCTATCACTGCTGGGCCATTAATTGAAGTCGCCTCCGGCAATTAACAACTCGTGTATGCAAAATCCATTAAATCACTTAAAAAAGCGGAGAAGAGCACATTTGAAACCACTTCAAGAGCGAATGACACATAATACGACTACAAAACAGTTGCCGCAGCCAACGGAGATGTGCAGGAGTGCAGGGACTCTCGCAGGACACACACTCGGCAGCTGGGCGCGCCCCTTGCGATGTCGATGATAATGTAACAACACTCAACCTCTTGGCAAAAAATGGGACATATTCGTGGGCAGGAGGTGGGTTTTTTCAAAACACCAAAAGGGTTGGTCCTGGCTTCAAGGAGCATGGTGTGTGGAGAATCAAATGAAATTGTCACAGTCGCAAATTTAATTACATCAGCTGGGGCCCGCATCCCCCAAGGATGCCAGTTTCTGGGCTTAAAGCTGCCCATAAATCCAGGTGCCATTCCCCCCAACATATCCTTCTGCCCCGACCCCTTTGTGTGTATCCGCTCATCAACTGTCAGAATTGAAATTCCGAAAAATGTCACAAAATTTGACAAGTACAGAAAAGAACTCCCGATAATTCATATATGCATGTTGGAATATGTCAAGCATGAAAAACTGATAAGGCCAGGCAAAATGAATCGGTTGGGGATAGAAAAAAGAGTGGATTCCGAATCACAAATTCATGTGGCATACTTTCGGGCCACTCAACTAACACCCCTTTGAGGGACCCGAGAAAAAATCAACAGCCTCATTTACAAATG